TATATATCACGATAAATAAAGAAATTTATCATTTACGACAATAATATGCAAACAAAAAACAAAGAAAAATGCGCCATGCAGACTCTGGCAAAGATCAGAGTGATGCCAAAGAAGATGGTATTGTGCATTCAGTGAGACTGGAAGAAGATCATGCGTTGTGAATTACTACGGCCTGGAAGAATGATCGATTGTTATCTCTATTCAACTAACGAGCCGTTGTCTTCCACATACAACTTTAGTTGGAATAGAATATAAATCCACGGCACTCTGTCTAAATATGGATTTTTCTTATGAGCTGTTTTCTAGATTGCATCGAAATAAAAACAGATATTTCAGCACAATTACTTGCATGGGCTAGAAGTGTCATGTACTAACATTCAATTAACCAAAATAACAGCTTCAGCTTGGGGTGTAACTACTCACTAATCATATTTAGACAAAGTCTCCTTTATTGGGTTGACTTTATTCTTCCTCTAATTTGCAACTAACTTCGCTCAAATACGCTACAGACAAAAAAAATATCGAGTGGAATTAAATTTTAGGATGATGGTAAGTTAAAACTCCCTAAAAGTAACATAGCGCCGAAAAGATCAAAACGTACAGAAGGGCACAAAAAAGTTAACTGTGAGAACGGCCCATTTGACACTGAATGTATCTTTTTTTCGAAACGGTTTATTAAAAATGTTCTTTTGCACCATTTTGATGAATTACTAAGTATTTAAAATGTAAGCGCTATCGAGGATCTTCCGATTTGCCTCATGCAGATCTTCCTCGGATCCTTCAGGGGCCGCATGAAAACCAGTAATAATGAAGACCGATTTCGAGCAAAAAATAAAGAATATATACTTGGTAAAGATTGTTTGTCGAGCGCGTTCGTTTAAATTATAGAAACAGCGCACTGTTCTCCGCCATGATGATCCCGTTTTTTCTTCTAAAAAGAGCTGGTTTTCTTCTAGTCCCAAGAACAGTGGATGGACGCATGTTCAAAGCGGCAAACAAAATTAGCAGAATTCAGATACACCATATATATACATATATATATATATATATATATATATACGTATAGAAACATTCTGGTACAAAATCATTGTACAAACTGTCGATTGGACGCGAATTATAGTAGAAGTTGTAAGTTACAAATACGTCTGCTGCAGTCGTTACTCACTTATCCACATAAAACTCGGATGTGCGGAACACCGCGGTGTCAAAAGTATAAAGCGGCAAACCCGGACTATATTCATCGTATTGTAAGTTGACATAGCGAGGTTAATAAATATTTTTTTAAATGCATTAGAAATTACTACATACTCAAAAAAAAACATTCTGTATTCTGAAAAACTCATTTGAAACGATTGAGTCACGTTTTGTAAAAATTCTATCACTCTCCATCGTTCCATCGTTAGCCCTTGGCAGCGGTACTCTTATAGAGCTTTAAGAAGTAGCAAGGTCATGCAGCGCTTGACTCCAGTTCTAACCATTCACTTCCAGTGTGTGATCGTTCAATCATTGCTTTTAGCAGCAGACGCTATTACGGAATGTGTACCACAAGTAAACTGAAAAAAAAATTGGTAGCGAGCGTGCCCCTCAGGTCAGTTTTATCCGTTGCATAACCCAGTTGAGCTTCAAGCCAAGAATAACTGCATAGACATCCACAGAAGGGTCAACTACGCAAAAAAGGTCCAGGTACTCTTGTGTTCAGTCGAACCTACTGTGGCAGTATAAAGGACGAAAGCGGTGCTGCTGACGCCGCAATTTTGCTGTTTGAGCAGTGGAACAAGATTGGGACTGTATATTGTCAGCCTTAGAATCAACAAACCGACCCACAGACCCTAAGACCGACAAACAGACTCAACGATGTACTTTTCGCTTGCTATCAATTCGATTGTTGAATCTGCAGTGGCTTGTGTCATTATCGAGTTTGTAGCAAGTGCTCTGGTTGAAATTCCTGGAGATCTTTTATGCGACGAATGAACCAGTTCGGTCTGAAGCTGAGCGCACCGCAAAGCCCAGGTCGACCGTGCGGCCATCGACAGCCCAATTAAACTTTTAGCTTTTACTAAATTTACAGTATTTAAGAGTGCGAACGTAGAGATAAGGGCAAACTATGACTTTTTTCCCTATACGTCTTTCTTCAAAGTGGCCTTTCGACAAGCACAGCAGTTACCAGCGGGGTTTTCGTAATCCCCGCCACGCGCTGGCTTGCAGACTGAATGCGAGTCCTCCCTTTAGGCTATTTAGACAGCATCCTTTGGGCGGGCGAGACCTCCAACTGCCATGTAAACTTGGTGAACACGTACGTAACCCACTGTATCGTCGACGGAATTCGCGGCATTGAACCAAACTGTTCATAGAAGTTGTACCACATTTTGCCTGTTTAAGGTTGCGTACATCGTCATCTGCGGGACGAACACGTCCGAGCCGTCCAGGGTAACCCAACTGCAACGACGAGTAGTTTTCAGGACGAAGCCCTTAACTCTTTTGCGACTATATTCCTTCTTCTTCACCGAAGCCCTGAAACTCTCCCGAGCTTCTCTGTGCATATGTTTGTTTATGGGTTGTCTGTTCGGAACTCACTGATACAACGTTGGTCGAATGTAGCTCCTCTCGTTAGATGGTATAGGTATCTCACAGTGACTTTGCAACTTCAAACAGGGGCACAGCCAGGCAGGTTTCCTACCGCTGGCATAGAGAGGCAATAGTAGCGATTCCAAAGGAACAGGACAGAGAAAGGTGAATTGTGGCCTTTTTCATTCCCGTACGCTGGTGGATGGTCAAAGAAGACGCTTAGCTGTTTTGCATAGAAAGCCTAAGGGATACTGAAGTTTTGTCATTTTTTTAGTTGTTCCATAAACGTATGAATTCGCGTTCACTTTCATCTTCCATCCATTTTCAATATGGATTTTCAACACGTTTCGTTCTGTTGGTAAAGAAAGATCGTCTTAAAGAAGTTATACCGTATAAGTACGCCTGGAGCCACTAGATAAAAGTTTTTTTTATTTTTTCTATTCTCAGTAGGATATGTTGTGGAAGGCAAACATTTTGTCTGAAGGATAAGTAGCTTGCCTCTTAATAGACTTTCAACATTCTCTTTTGTAGTTCTTTACAATTCGAGGACCTATGCTTCACTTTACGGACTTCGATAGCACATTTTTGTGTTTTGAATATTAGCTTCGTATCAGTTCTACTTATGGGAAATGCGGTTCGAAGTTGCTCTCTATTTCTGTGATGTTTTATGAAAAACTATTTTTTAGTTTCAATAAGTTTTTACATGTTCTTTCAATACGCGTTTCGCGGCACGCTTGCATAGCGTAACCTTCGTTAATTTCAAGTTAATGCATGTAAAAACCTTATTTTCAATAGGTGGCTACCTACTCGTCTAGTGGGCTTCTAAAAAAAAATTGTCGCCCAATTTCCCTAGGGAATTTGTAACTTGTAGATAGTACGCTTCTTTGCGACGGGCAAGTACGTAGTATCGTTACTCACAGCCAAGAGTTGTCTTTCTCTAATCTCTCAGTTCTTTATGAATGTAGAAAAAGTTGATAGAGTTACACCCTATCCTCTTTTCGACTTTCATTAGGTCGGCTGTTTTCTGACACTCAATTTTACCTCTCGGTTTGGCTGCTTGCTTAGTTTTTTTGCAGCGTTTTTGGCAAGCCTCCCTTTCACATATGCCTTACCAAAAAATTGCGAAGCTAAACCGTTTACCAAACCTTACCCAAAACATCAGGAGTATTGATATGGCCATTTACACGTTCGTCCACGGTGCAACTTTCCCGTCTGCACTGTCTCCAGACAGAGAGATCTATGGCAGGTCATCGGACATTGAAGCGTCGCATAATTTTTTTTATCACAGCATCTAGATCTCGTTCGACGTCCCCACCTCCAGCGCACAGGCCGTAAGTGGCTTAAAAGCTGCGTCACAGCTGAACAACTTCTGCTACCTTTAATTTCAGAAGGCTACGTCTCGCTGTGCAGCGAAACAATGAGCAAAACCCGCCACACTTGATGCACACGATGTATATCGAACTTCTTCGCGGTATATATATGATCTACGAATAACTATTTTATTTATGAATTGAATTAGGTTCTAATTTATAAGATGGAACGAACTTCACAAGGTACGGCAATCTATTAGCAGAACTGTTCTAATTCATTGATTAATTTTCATTGTTTACTGTCAATAAATGGCTAGATATACTTTGAAGAGCCAATATGTTTACGTAAAGTTAATCAACGTGATCGATCTATTTAAAAATTCAGTAATCAGTTAGCGGCGCCAATATACCGAAAATGCTAGTCGGCAAGGACTGTCGAATGGAGGTACATGATTGTAGGACATCACATTAACTGTTATTACCTTTAGAAAAGCTCAAAACATTTGCATACAACAGACGGTATTCATCGTTTTACCATAGGGAAATAAGCAACGATTACCGTCGGCCAGACATAAGTTACCGATAAAATACGCCATTGGAACGGGGACACTTCGCTAGTATTGTAAAGGAGTTCGTTTCAGAATGAAGTGACCAGCTATGTATTGATTCTCTGTAATCTACAATTGTACGGACGGCCTAGCAAAGTAGGTCTAATAGTAAGTCCGAATCACCAGGAAAAGTTGTCGACTAGTTTGTAAGTGATGCTGGTATTTTGGGTAAGGGAACATGAGAAAATTACCTAGTTACAACTGAGATCGGATGTCCTTAAACGCTTCAACATGCTTTTTCAGTATCTTCTTAAACACGCTAATTCACACAATAAACGTCTCTCTGCTACGCGGGTGGTAGATTCATACGTCGTACATGACCCATTGAACCTAACTGCGTAAAAGGCCAGGCAAAGTACCATGCTTGCTTTAGTAACTCGAAGTATTTTTTGATACGATGAGACTAAGCAACATATACTCGATGTTTCGAATCTCACACCCGGTATTGCTGACTCCCGGCTCAAAACAAAATGTGTCTACGCCCAAATTCAAACCTAGACCACAGCGTGTCTAAGACTAGCATGTAATTTACCCATCAAGCTATCGATAAATTGGTAGGTTTTCTCGACTAATTCGTGGCGCTCTACGTGGCGCCTGCCAGTATGCTAATCACAGACAATATCTCAAAGCATCCAATAGCATACTTTATTTTCATAGCAAACACATTGAATGAAGTGACCCTTGGCTGTGTTCCCTTTCTTGGAGCATGCACCATAGTCTGTACTAAAGGAATGAATACTGAGAGTGTTGAACGCTGTCGAAGGCTCGATGACGGGCGAGAGAGCCTTAAGAAAACCATCATTCCATAATACTTTCCACAGCAGCTCAAGACAAAGTAAAATTGGCAAGCAGAACAGCTATCGGATTGTCGAATTGCTCTCGGGAAGCGCGTGCACAAAGTCGACACGAGTGGTACTAGACCGTTCTAAGAGGTTGTTTGAAGAATGCTCGCAGCTAGGACATTAACAAGGAACGTAAATTTTGAGCAAACCCGTCGATTGAAGAATCTTAATGAACTCAGAGAGACGACGAACTAACACCAACGCACGGTGACAGGAACAATGTACAGATATGACGTACAGACTAAAGCACGATCTCAATGCATTTTGCCTCGCTAGAATTTATACTTTAGCGAGATATCATATGGCGCACTGTAATCGTATATAGATCTTGTTATTATGGTTCTTTATATATCCCTACATTTTAGGCTGCAGCACGCTATTCGCTGTGGAAACAGTTTTTAAATAAAAAAAATCTTCAAAAACCTTAAAAAAAAGCCAAAATTGAAAGATGGTCGACTCACCTTCGTTTGTGTGATCACCCTCTTATCCCGCATCCACTTAAAGGGCGAGACGCACAACGTGCTTGTAGCAGCCCGCAAAGCTCCACTCGTCAGCAATACAGGACCTAGGCCTTCGTTGACAATGTTTCGTAGAGAATATTCACGGTAACGTTCGAGTGAAGGTTTTACGAGGAATGCATGTTCAAAGCCTTTCTCGGCCAGATACTCGGCTAGCTGTACGTAAAGGGCGGCCCACCTCGCACGAAGCTGAGCCCGTTCGCCCTTGTCGGCTTGATTGAGATTGTAATGTTTGGCATTTTCAAGTTCTCGCAGCGCCAATCCTTGCACCTGGTAGCGCTTGAGTAGCCCAATCACTGCATCAAACGCTTGTACGCGCTTTGGTGAAATTGCCCCCGAGGCCAAACCGCCTCCCGGCGATAGGCTACCCCCAGAGACGCCGGCCCGTGACCGCAAAGCGTCATCGTCGATGCCTGCACTCACAGCGACACCAGCGCCGATGCCGACCCCCGGCTCCGCGTCATCCACCTCGAGCAGTTTGTCGAAGCCTGAGTCGAAGTCCTTCGTCGCAAGGAGAATCTTGACCGATGAGGGCATTGCCCCACGAATGCGGTTAAGGATCTGTGCGTCAGACATCACTTTCGGCATGAGACCAGTGCCCTGCAGGTGAACTTCGCCATCGACCAGCAGATAGCTACAGTGTTCGGACAGCGTTCGCAGCTGATCGTCACGCAGACCTGCGTTTGCGTACACATGACACCAAAGTTCGCGCATAGTTGATGTGTTGGGGGCGCTCTGATTGCGCAGGCCGTTATAACCAGCGGTCGTATAAGGCGTCCGGGTTGTGCTCGTCGACGAGCTAGTTGTCTCGTGGAACTCTCGTCCACTATGTGGCGGATAGGGCCTCACCGGAGGATATGGCCGGCCCGGAGCTTTCCATCCGTCCTCATTGTTAATCTTGCGGATCTCGTCGATTGGACTCGGCTTGGTTGTGCGCGGTCGCCAAGGGTTGTTTTGACCGCCCCCATGTTCCTGATGGTCGTGGCCATTATCATTATGGCTATTGAAGCCGTGACGCGGTCGGAACGTGGTAATCCCTCCGCCGATGCCGAACGGTGGGTTGTGCAAATGCGACCCTCGCGCTGCCGCAGGAACAACAACACAAGCAACACGATAGATGTACGAATGATGAGTATATTTTTCGTAAATCTTTATGTTGATAATAGTAATAACAGTGACAAGAACAGCCATTCATGCCCCCATCATGCTACCTTTGCTTACCTAACACAGTCAGAAATAATATGTTTGACTATGCGCTATCTCATAGTAATTTTTCGAACAAAAAGAAAGCTAGAGAAAGCCGCTGCACGTTTTTCTTGCAAGCGGTTCAGTGCAGCGATGCTCGGTTGACTTCGGGCTCCATATTTTGTTTTTTTTTTTTCTGTCTTTCGGTGCTGTTTTTGATTCATCCGCTGACAATCCTCGGCTGCTGCTAAGAAGGTGGAAGAACGCTACAAAGGTGACGCAGCTGAATATATCTTCCTATGTACTTATTTATGCGAAACTGACAACTGCCCTGCCAGAAGCGAGACGTTCATGGTTCGAGTTGAATAAAAAATAAGCTCACCAATCTTTCAGATCACTTCGATAACAAGATCAATAGTGCAAACTACCTAAGGTTTTTTCGACTTCACTATTGAGTAGCTACCCTCGGTACCCAGTAAGACAGAACTTACTTTTCAGTATCTGATAACATATTCACCGACGGCAGTAGTGTTCGCCTACTTTTCCATCATCTTTCTTTTTCCTCGAACAGCCATTTTTCAATTACCTCGTCGTCTCAGTCAGTAAATAATTTCGGAGACTACATTACGTTATAGCAAGTTTTCAACACCACCCACGAGTGAAAACGTTAGGAACGTTTGTTTGATAAAACTGAAGTATCGTTGGAACTGAGACAGAGAAATGTTTAGCGGATTTGATTTTTTGAAAAACCGATCCGGCCGGATGCGGAATCAGACCACAATCAATGTCCCTCAATAGAGCAGAACGAATATGACTCTAAACGCAAGTGGATCGCTATGCATAACGGCTGCTTGCCACAGTATGATTATTCGAAAGGCAAAAACAAGGTTTCGCACTAGGTATTCCGTTGAGGATCTACATGGGTGACAGATACACTAAGCTTTATTTGTCAACATCGTACTCTTAGTTCATCTTTACGATTGGTCTCTACATTGTCTGTTTCTATCCCATTGAATAGTAAGGAACATTTCGCAAGCCACAAGCTTCTAACACTGGTGAAAGCAAGTTATATGGTTCTATAAGTTTCAAACTTGTATAACGTCATTGGCTGCACAAAGGTAGTTTAATTTATCAAGTACCACAATAGAAATCTAACCTCTTGACCTTGGACTTGAACAGCTGACAATAATCCTGAGTGTAATTTCATAATAACAAGTCTATACAATATTAGTCTATTTAGGAACTTGAATCTGAGAGAAAAATTTCACGCAGTATTTGTATATTAATACCTATCATTACGGTATACGTACGAGTGCGATAGCTTCCATTCGTAATTTTTATTCATAATAAGAACGATACTCACAATTCGACTTTCCCCCGATGTGGGAGCGGTCTCCCCCATGTCGACCCCCACCTCCATCATCGTCGGCGTCGTCACCGTCGGCCTCGTTCGACCCGTTATTATTATTTTTTTTTTGATCGTCCGAATCATCGCCATCATCTTCCGGATCAGGGGGTTCCTCGTCGGATCCTTCTGGGGGATCGTCATCCCCGTTGTCGTCCTGTCCATTCGTACCATCTGGATTGGGCGGAGGTGGTATCGATGGATTTGTCAAAACTGCTTGATAGCACCAAGTCGCCATTCGAGGATTGAACCGGTCGATTAAGTAAATAAAAGCATTTTTTTATTATATAGATGAAGGACGTTGGTTTTATCAGTAGAATAGGCCGCCGTGGTCGCACCCGGTCGTGTAAAATGGATGTGACGGAGGTTAGATATGTGACGATTGATGAACACGACGATAATAGCGTTGCAGCAGGCATAGTTGGATGACAGCAGGATCAGGACGATCCGGAGATGATCCGGGTCGATAACCGATTGGGTAGAGTATATACAACAAATAGACAGTACGCAAAAGGGCACTTTTGATTAGATCAATCTGCGGACCAGTAAGTCACGGTCAGGTAGCTTTACAAGGCCCGCCTGAACAAGCTTCGTTAACCGAATCACTGTCGCAAGCTAAACAAAAGCATACTGATCGTCAGGTTAATAATAGCGTATATGGTGGGTCTGTACAAATAAATGATGGGCTAGTCGTGTTCTGAGAGATATTGTGCCTACCATAAACTTGCGTTTTATGTTATACTTTCACATGGTGACGTAAGTGAATTTATTTCAAGCATGTGAATATGAGCAGCAATTCTAAAAGCAACAGTATGTATTCACGACTTTACAAAATACCGTATAGAAATACGTGATGATGGTCGCTTTAAACAAGCCATGCAAGTTATCGGCGTCCTTAGCTTTACTGTCCTACCAAACTCGCAGCGAAACACCTAGGATGCTCCAATGACCTCATGAGTGATATGTAGAAAATTTACTTCATGGTCCGAAACATGTAAACTTGTGAATCGCTGAGTCGTGCACTATTGTGGTATAAATTGTGCAATGTAACAGCTGTGTAGTTTAAAGTAAGCAAAACTTTCGGTGCCACACAGGGATGGGGGGGGTGCGTCCCCTAACAAGGATCATCATTCAAATACCTGCTTGTTATTAAGGCCTTTATTTTAAAGCTTTTATAAAGGCCAAGGATTTTAGTAAAACAAAAGGTGCTACAATCAACCCTGTAAAGGCTTGGTTTGGGTGGATGCGTTCGATTGCCGGATGCTACCATTTCGACATAGTACACTCCTATCCGTTTCGGCTAGTCATATACCTTAAGAGTTGTACATTTTCAGTTATTCATTCCAGTGGTGTGAGATAGATACCTATCTGTGTCATAGGGTTGGTAATCCCTACGACCAACCGGGGAGGGGGACAAAACTGTGGAAAGCATCTACTAGAAGGTACCTATAACGTTCGAGAGGTGTATTTGTGTCGATGTAGCTAGGCGTCGCTTGGAGGCGGCTGGCCATTTTCAGCACGAAACAATATGTGTTTTCGTCCATCCTCGAACCTAGATCACATCACGCAATATCAATTTTGTGCTGAAAAAATGACCCGCTTAAAAATGGCCGCGCGAAAATGTTATGAATAGTAATAATGTGATTCCACCTAATTTGTAAAGTCGTGTCGCTTTTATGTTATGCCTAAATTATGTTTATCCCTGTGATATGACTGTGAGTTTACAAAGGGGATATCTTCATGATATGGTAGCACAATAGCGCGCCAAATTCATTTTTACCCAAGTTGGCGGTCTAATTCTAAGCAGAAACTTTCGGTTTGTTTCTTTCTTTGTTTCTTCTTCGGCACTTTGTTTGTTTCTTTCTAGCGCAGTGCTAATACCATAGAGGGAGACAGACAGACAGACAGACAGACAGACAGACAGGAAGACAGACAGACAGACAGACAGACAGACAGATAGACACACAGACAGACAGGCAGACAGACAGACAGACAGGCAGGCAGGCAGGCAGGCAGACAGACAGACAGACAGACAGACAGGCAGGCAGACAGACAGACAGACAGACAGACAGACAGACAGAGAGAGAGAGAGAGCGAAAGAGCAATGAGGTGTGCCGCGATCCAATTCAAGCAAAGGTTGCGTAAGTTGATAATCGTTTAGTTTGTTTTGTGTCTTGCTGTGCCACTACGTTTCTCTAAAGAACTTCGAGACCACCTAAAGTAGTCCAAGTTCAAAAGCTGGCGTCGACAGACATAATTCGTTTAATGCTGGATGTATGGAGCGAGCCGCTTGAAGCAATGCTTAACTAAAGTAGTATAAACGGAAGTAAAAACGTAACGAAACCTGCAATTGTCCTTCTTAAACGATAAATTTCTAAATTCAGGATTGAACGTAGGTAGATTTTTCGTCTCCTGTTGGTGGGAGTTGTTAATCTGAAGCAACAAGGTTTACCCATGTCAATCAATTCGGATGCAAAGCTCAAGACAGTCTGCTTTTACAAGTACGTCGTCGGCTTACGTTATACGATCAGCATTTATACAATGATATTTTAATTACAGTTGTTATTGACTCGACTACAGTCGGCGTGCTATTGTTATGACTTAATTTACTGTAACCAAAGCGTAAAAGGCTTCACAGACACCGTATAGCTAAGATTTCTGTATATGTTATTATCTGTTTTTTCTTTTCTGTGAAAGCTGTATAGATGATACAGCTTTCGATAAAATTATGGCAGAACCTGATAAAGGAATCAAGCGGCTAAGTGTCAACTTCGTTTTAGCCGGGATCGATCGTTAACGTCGTCAATTTGAAAAGTTCTTCGAGCACTTCTTTTTTTATTGATTAGTAGATATTTAACAAATATAATATATGACGTTAGTTGATCGGTGATAATAGAGAACTGGGTGTCTCCTTCCGTAGATTTTTTTAATGGAAAAAAAATTACAAAACCAGCCAGAACCGAGTGTGGAAACCGGTTTCGGGTGGGGTATGAATAAAAAATCTCTGTAAGAGGCCAGCTTATGACAGCTGTCGTATTCATTTGCGATGAAATCATTGACATTAGGTACGAAAGTGGAACCTGAAATAAAAATGAAATTCGAGGCCTGTTAGGTCCTTAACTAAATATGGCGCGCCCATAGGCTCACAGGTAGAAGATACACAGACACTCACTTTATATTGAAAACAATTTCCGACTGGTATGAGCGTAATATTGATTTAGATCCTTTTTAACTCTAAATTGTTACATGAAAGGGCTAACGAAGGGTGGGGAAGCCGAGCCCTTGATCGGACCCTAAGCTAAACTCCATTCCAGAGTAACCGATCGAACTTGTAACCAGCTGCGAGTGCTGTTGCAACGTCACATTGCTGAGATGTTACTAGCAGTCTCTATCAAGTAAAGGGAAAAAAAAAGAAAATTAAATTAAAAATTAATTTTTCGTAATCAATTTATGGAGTTGTAACGACGGTGAATATCGTACTGAACTGGACAGAGCGTTTCACTCAGCAGAAAACATTTACTCGACATGTAATAATTTTTTTATTTATTATTTTTTTAAAATGAGCATTTTTTTATAACAAAAAAAATGTGACAAAATTAAGAGAATAGCGAGAGAAACCAGTTATAACGTTTCGTAGCTTAGACGTCATGCCGCCAACTGCAAAAGGCAAAGCCTTAGTTCGAGTTCAGAAAAATACTTCGAACAACAATAATTTCATAAACCAAATTGAAGCGGGTTATATATATATATATATATAGTTCAGGACTCCACCAAGCAGGTATCGGTGTAGGGTAAACTGTCTATTTTCGATATATTGATTCTATGGGCTTCAGTTTTTATAGCCTTATTTCGAACTTTTCATCCGCTGTTTTCGTTAGCGTGTTATTAGATCTTATTGCTTTTACAAAATATCGTGTAAACATATAGCCGTCGTTACCGCAGTTATCGAATTATTGATGCTTTGGTTATAGTAATACTAACGCCTACGGTCCTGAAGGTATCTTCGACTGTCCTCGTTGGAATCATCGGGGATGTTATTACCATCCATCGGATGCTGGTGGAAGGGTCTGTCAGGGTCGTCCGCGGTCCTGCCGAACCAGCCGGCCACCTTTTGCACGATCGTCTCAATACTGATCTGCGGGATGGGAATCAAACCGCCGTTATTGATGTAATTATTATGAGGATGGCCAGATGCCATGATGAGCTGAAGAAAACTGGCGACAAGCAAAACGGTCAGAGCGAGGAGCGCCGTCGTCGTTACAAGCAGGAGCCAGTTCCCGCAACCGTTCGAGGGACAAGCGCCGCTGTCTCGTCCACCGCCAGAGCTTAGCGACTCTTCAGAGTCATCTAAACGTCCTCGTGGGCCTCCTCGACGACCCAGACCTCCGCCGATAGGGCTGTAAATTGAAAATGGCAGACCAGATAAGAATCAGGATCACACGAAGCCGTACGTAAAAAGTAAATTAGAACGAAACGATTCAGACGAACCTGTAATTAAAAGAAGATGACGGCAATAAATGAAAACAATTGCAGAGCAAGAAAAATAATAAAGCAGGTGACGTCAATAGATATATATATATATATATATGTAGGAACGGAGGATGCAAGAGGCAAAAAGAATAGAAATAAACGGGGTTTATATAGGGAACTTACTTTTATAATTTCTGCTTTTTTATATTCATCAGATACTGCCTAAAAACAACGTTGTCGTGAATTGGATGTTTGCTATCGCATAGAGCCCAAGGTGGCGCCCACCCAAAGTCGGATGTACGGATCTTTGCTTAGAATTGGCATCGCCACAATTCAGAACAACAAGTAGAAATAAAGCCGTAAAGCCTACTATAGGCCACGCGAATACGGCATTGTTAAGCGACTTTTAAAGAGACCCTTAGCCTTTTCGGGAAGAAAGCGACCGAAGCAGTTCAGTTGAGGAGTAAATTAATAGGTACACAGCGATAATAGAGGCACTTTTATTCGTCCCGGTACAATTTAACACCGTTAAGCGTCCTACTTAAGGGTACCGGATATTGTCGTTTTGCATCTTATTAATTCTCTATTAAAGCGCAATTGGTAAGTGGAAGAAAAATACATTTATAAAAGTTCTTACCATATACAAAAGCACACCACAGCTTAAAATTATCTTAAAAAAAAACTATAACTGTTTTTTCATATCGCATTAGTGGCGTACAATGTTTTACTGCTGTTTGTAACGCAATGAAATGTCGGAAGTACAAAAAGGCAAGCGCGCTTACAGGCGTATTTCAATGGCTACCCCGTTTTCGGCCTATTACAATTGACAACGTTGAGTTCAAGTTTATTCGTTGGCGAAAAGAGGGGCAAATATCTGATAGTAGGCATCACTGCCCATTAACGCACACGTTTAAGTGGCCTATGAATCCATCTCTGCGTCTGCCAAACATAGAGGGACATAAGTTTCAATAGAAGTTGAATACTCTAGAACTGGCAGAAAAAACAACAACGAGTTATCTATATATATATATATATATATATATATATATATAGATGCATATGTGCATACATGTAGAAGGCAAACGACCGATTTTTGCAATTATCGCGCTTTTCGCTCTGTTCCAAGTCAGCAGCATCGACGCAAATCAAGACCTCCTTCACATTGGGCGTTCCCAAGAAGCATTAGTTTTCGAACCAATAACATACGCATGTTTCATTTGTTAAACAGCAAATCTTTTCTATAATTCAAGGTATATTCAATATTCTAAACATCAGGCAATGTCTAACTAACGTTATACACGTACCATACGTAGTGATGTAAATCTAATAATGCATATAAAATCGGTACGTAAGAGCGCAATGCAACATTTCTAGGGGCAATCGAGTTAGAAACAGAAAAAACCGAAGTTGCGGAACAATCAAGTAAAAAGTAACTGTAGGAAGTTGCAACAGTACTTTATCCTTCAGAGAGCTAGCCTCTTCCCACTTGAGAGGTCGTTCTCATCGTCGTCATTGTATGCTTATCGTCGATCGCACTCATCATGGATGAGAGCATAGTCCAATGGTGGATCGCCGAGAAAGGGGAACGAAGGGCAAAACAAGCTTTTTACTTCCTTTACAATAGCTGCTGCTACTACTGTTACGAAACTACGTGCAGCACCGCTTTGTCTTCCGCGAAGCCCTTAATTCAACACGAAGAGCCTCCTAGCCGGTCACACACTGAGGAGATCGGTTCTGTTTGCTTTGGCTCGGATAGGGCTTGCTTTATTCGTAGGTAACGTTTGAACTCTCTAAGCTCTCTCTATCGTTTCGCTCCACGAATCATACGTATATTGAAGGATTCCAGTACCACTATCATAACCCACTTCGGGCCAAACGAATCGAGCAGCTAAATCCCTTTACTCCACTCCGTCCATCCCCGGCGCTTCAGTGCCCCACGTTGCTCCAACTTTGCGTTGACTGTGACTGCATCGTGAGACAAATTGCTTTTTCCCTACCACCATCGCCTCTACGATGACTAGCCCTGCCCCGTTTAGTCCCTTCAGCTGGGTCTTGGCTTGCTCTTTGGAGCCGATACTGAGCGGGCATACCGACTTGAGAGACAAAGACCTGGCCTATTTTACCGCGGCTGCTGCGACCGTTACGAGATTCCTGAGTGGAAAGTCTTCCGTTTGGTGTGAAGTGCTAGTGTGCTCTTTCAAATGCTACTAGATGGTGCAATATCTTCCAGTCTTCTTTTCATGCATGGCAGCTAACACTAGCTACAAAACAGGAACTCCTATTGAGCACTATCGTGTACCGGCTTTATTCGGCGGGAGACTTAGGTCTTTATCTTGGTGGGGCTGCCCCATTGTTCATCCAGCGAGCACCCACTGAACAAGCGGGGAAGCCAAACTCGCCCCTTTATCGAAGCTTCTTCGTCTCCTGCAGCAGATCCGTCAAACATTAGGTCTGCCTCTAGGTTATGAGATGCCATCCATTTTAGTGGTAAGCGTCCTCTGTTAGTTATGTGGAAAAGATAGCAACAGCAGTAAAAGTCCAGCGTGTAAAAACTGCCGTGCCACAGGTGGGATACAAGGACAAAGAACAGGCGCAAAGGATGACTGTGCCATCATTCATCAGCGGTGAGCGACCACGCCGCATGTCCCAAATCGACGTCAGCATTAGCAGTCAATGAAGAAATGGATATACGATCATATTATCAGAAGATTGTAGAACACAGAACACGAAGTGCTTCACGTTATGCTACTTGAGCTCAACGCACTATTTGATTGCAAACGAACTTCCGTTGTGCCTAATATCTTTTGCGGTAAGCATCTTTCATTATGGTAACTTCACAATAATAATAATAAGAGAGACGAAACTGACTGGTTTCTACTGCAACTGTGTCTAATACCCCAGCTTTATACCACTTTTTACTACTTACCTGGAGGGCGTAGACGATTCGAGGCCTGACACCCAGTTGCCCACCTGGGGCGATCCTGGTGGGGGCATGTTGATTTTTGATATCGGCCCGGCTTATCGGCGCTATGAGCGCCTCTGCGCCGTCTATATTAGCATCACAACTAGAACGTAACCGAGAAAGAAATTGATTTGATAGGATGGAGTTATAAAGGCGCCAATTACAAATTTTCTAGCTATGCATATATGTATATGGATGTATGTGTATTATATATACTTTTCCTTATCTCCACCTATTGTGTACATATGCGCGCTGTTACATTTGAACCAGCGGCGTTTTGGACCTAGCGTACAGGTACCATCTTTCAACTGGTTGAGGCAGTCCCGTGTGCATATATGTATACATACATATAGATACGTATTAGCGGTTCTGCTCGGCTTATTTGCGATAAACGCTCGCATCCTGTTGATGTCGCTTACAACGCTCGGTAGATACTTTTTTACATCTGCGCATTCTGATTTCACTCAGCTTGCATAACCCCAGATCAGTGGGGCTTCTTGCCTTAAAATTGGATCTCACACTCACATTCACACACACACACCCATACTCACATTCACACGCACACACACCCACACCCACACATACACACCAGAGACAAACACAATTAGACTCACGCATCAATAGCCAGACCCTGTACGTGAAGATTTTTAGCGTTGCATGAGCAATCTGCATTTTATGTCAGGTTTCTTTCTATGCGTATGTTATTATATGCAAGTGGTTCTCATCCAGCGTTGGAAGCTGGCGGTAGCGATAGGAAGTGGTGTGATCGAATAACTCGTTTCCTATTTGCCTGGGGGCTCCGCGCACGGGTCGTGCCCATTGCGGCCCGGAGTCGGAGTTGTTTCGCCGTGTCGTACCATGTTATCCCATTTGTTCGATTCCCGTTGCATCCAACAGCAGAACGTCTCGTCGACCACAGTGGCCCCTGTCTAAGTGAGTTCAATCGACGTTAGTTATTCGAAATTTGTTAGAATACGACGCGGAAATTTAGCCGTCCTGGGAACTCTTATGGTTCAATTAAAGTCGCTTGCCACCGCCAAGTTCGACAACCGGCTACCGATCTTTGTGCTTATGGGGCGGTGTTAGCGATGAAGTGTATGGGAGAATCACTATCAAAAGTTAATGACGCTTACAAATCGGAAATTATCAGAGCGCCAATAGGTGGGCAGACACATAGAAAGAGAACCTGAGAAAGAAAAAAAAGTGAGACTACGCACTAGATGGCCTTTTCGTCTGTTTTACTATAAATGTAAGAAACGAAAGCAAGAAATCTATATAGGGGTAGCGATTGGTGATCGAAGGCAGTTCGTAGTACGACACAGACGCTGTACGGACCCTACGTAGGAACTTTCACTCTTAGTGAAAGCGATTAAGTAACTTTCACAAGCTACAAACCCCACGAGGTTGCCGTTTCAGAGAAAAACGCTCGCTATTCTGCCAGCGGGTCACGAGACGCTAACAACGCTAAGTTAAGCGAGAAGTTAACGATTTGTTTGGAGTTCGCAGTTGCATCTATGTGTACGAGCGCACTGACGAACGCACGAGCGAACAGAGTGATCATCGTCTCTGAACTAACACAGATTGACAAAAGGATTGACTTCTGAGAAGTGGTGTACCATCATATGGATTGTAATTCCATCCAAAACATTGTAACATGTAAGGTTCGGTCCTGCATTGCGTCGGCATTCAGAAGCGAACATTAATGAGATGTAGCCTAATTGTACCAAATCTGTACGAGCTAATACTTACCGGGCTTTCACCCCACATGCTTGACGTCCATGAGTCGTGCGGGTCTACACCGCACCCGTGATTCGTTATCAGGATTCTCTGCAGGCTTTCCTATAGATGATGAATTTCACAGAAGATCAACGGCACACCACTACCGAGTGTCCTGCATCTACCAACACCCACGATTTGCTTAAACTTATTGCCTATTTTAGTCTTGAAGCCTTATATACTCCACGATTTGTACTCGCCTGTCCTCAGCGGGCCATGGCATAACTAACTAGATTCAAGGGGCACAGTGTCAATCAAACACGGCAATATACGGCGCACCTGTAATCAGTTCACGTAACGCACTATCCACTAACGACAAGAACTAGTCAACACCAATGATGAAGATGCGGAAGAAACCTGCGCCATTCGACACTGTGTCAAGAATGCTGCCTCTACGAGCACAAAGAACCGGGCTTTCTATAGGCTTGCTTTCTTAAAAAATTATTAGCTGTTGTCTTTGTGGCCGTAGCTATCAGGTAGTCCTCCAAGCAGAGGACATTTTGTGCAAGCTTCGTTGTAGCACTTGTTAGCGAAGTGGGCAGTCCCCCTACAGCAGGAACCCTATGAACATAACGGAGCGTTTCGTTGCCTGCTCTCATTGCTCCTTTTCCGTTCCTCGTTCCCAATAAATCACCGTCTCGACTCGAGTAGACTCTGCCCACTCTATATGTTTACACGCTCATTACTTTCCAGTCATTAGCAGCATATTAATTGAGACTGGTCTGTTTGATATAAGTTGCTCACCGCTGCTGTCAAACGAGAAACAAACGTCGATATGGACGTACACGGTTGGTTGTCTACTAACAGCGGCGGCAGTGCCGTGATGTCTCGCTTCAGCAGCGGTTCACCCTTTTTCAGACCAACGGATGTCGCTAAACGTCGACTACGAATTAACGAAAATAATAATGTCACGGTACCTTTCATTCGGCACGAGTGTGCTTATCTCTATATCCACCGGCGATAGACATGAAAGCATACGGAGCACGGGACTCATTTGTACACAGTATCTGCGCACCATACAATCGATACGAACGAGAGTGATACACCACGACAGTACGATAGATCAAGGGTTTATTCGAAAAAGTCTAAAATCCCTCAGCGAACAGGGTCGGCACACAGGGTCGGACAAAGAGGGAGACCTAAGGCTTGCACCTTAAATTAAAAAAACACTCGTCAACTTGACGTAAGGTAAAACGCGTCTTCGTTTGGGCTTTCACTCGTCGAAAGCTTCTCAGACATAGACGAAACGATTTTTCCGGCTAAGGTTTTCCGATGCTGACGACGACGGTGGCAGCAAGATGACAGTGGGGTAGTTCTACGAAGCGTTTTATATCGTGGAGTGGCGATCTTTTCTCGTCTCACAATACCTAGCACGCTGCCACTGCATGATGCGTGCGTGTTTATCAGTCTGTGTACGTATGCGGCTTTTACTGGGATCGGTGCTGTGCCGTTGACAATCGTACCACTCCTCGATTTGGTTCCTCTGCCGTTTTGCACATACCGCCGCTCGACGGTCCTAGCCAACCCAGTGGATGTGCTGCTCCAACAGCAGCAGCAGCAGAAGCCGCGGGGTAGAAAACAAGATGGCGGCCGAGCCAAGGGAGCCAGTCAGGAAGAATAGTGGTGGCGGCAGTAGCAGCAGCAGCTGGCCGCACCACTGAGGGCATCGAGAGTTTTGTGAGCACCCAGCTAGCCAGGCAGGCTCTGGATTGCACAGACAGAGTGCTGCTGCTGTACAGCAAAGGAGCAGGGAGCGCCGCAAAGCGCGTAGGCAGGATCAAGGCAAGCAGGCAGGCGACGAAGGCAGCGGCGGGGGCTGTTCAATGACGAAAGCGCTGCTGCTATAAGAGGAAGAGCGGGAGCAGCCGAACAAAGGGGGGAGCGGTAAGGGGCGACAGGGAGAGGCAAGGGGAGTCAGCCAGGGGCAACGGCGGGTAGCGGCGCGGATTGAACACAGCTTCTGGGTGAGAATCTTTTAGGAAGCCTAGCGGGACGTGAGTTCAGGCGGAAAGTCTGGGCTGGGGAAACCGAGCAGGGAGCAGGCCAGCAGTGCCACGGATGCAGTGGTTCGGCTGGACTGGTTCGATAAAGGGGGTGCTTGGGAGCACACAAACGAGAAGCCGAATAGGAGTAACGAACACCGAAGCCGGGAATTTGGGGTAGTGGGAAGAGCGCAACGCAGACCAGAGGAAACGAGAATCTGCCAGTAGCTGACGGGTAGCAGGCGAGCAAACCACCGACCGAACGATGAGCGCCAACGGCAGCAATAGGCAGCTGGCGCAGAACAGGCGGTGGTGGCGGAAGCCAGCGGGAATTGAGCGGGAACACAAGGAATGGAAGAGAGAAAGGGCGTCCCGCCCCGTGGGGAAGGGAACGCCACCAGCATGTGGGCGCAGAGCAGTAGAAATACACGACGTAGTAGGATTACTATTGAGAAGGAAAAAGGATAATGCCGATACACGTAGTACGAGGCAGTAACAGATGCTGCTGGTCACCGTCGTTGTGTTATTTCGTCGTGCTGGCCCTGCTGCCGATGTTTCTGTAACAGATAAATTTGATGCGAGTTTTGAGCCACCTCCAAACTACGAAGTGCAGACTACAAACTGACTTCTGCCGGAATCCTCCAAGGGCTACAGCTATACGCACAATGACGGTCAAAGACTGTGAACCGGCTGGAATAAAGAGCCAAAGGCAGAAAGTTAGATAGAATAAAATACATAGAGAGAGAAAAAGAAAACGAAAATAAGAGTCGCAGGCCTCCGAGACCAATGCAATGCGACTTGCGGGAGCTTCTGAAACTTAAATCGATGCCCATGCTTCTGGAGCAACAAACACCAAAGCAGGACGATCGAAACTAGGATAATACCACAAGCTCATAGGAGCAGTTCTGGAGAAAAGATCCAGACGACTTGGCCTAGCTGCCTTTTCTGTCTTAGACTTTTCTATTATCTGCTTAGAGCTTTAAAAGATGCCCCGTGTTTTGTTGTCCGCTTGGGCTCCAGAGAAATGCTTTGGTGTTAGACATATTATGCTGTAAAAAGACGACGGCTTTCGTCTCCTTAAAAGTAAATGTCTGTCGTCACTTAGTCGATTCTTGTGCCGTTTCTATTTCTGCGACCGTTATAGCCTGCTAGCTATGCGAGAAAAAAGCACCTGTGCGTTTTGTTGCGATCGCCATGTAGCTAGCGAGATACAAGTTGGATTCGCCATCGTGACATCAGTTGCCTATGTTCTGGACCATGTTTCCGGCAAGCAGATAGGCGTCGTTGTTGATGTTGTTTTTTCGTCCTCTCTGGACAAGAGCTTCCTATTCCATAGTTTGTCGTCCTTTGCCTCCGGGTTGCTGCAACCCGTTCTCCTTCAGCTCGTTTTAGCTTCCCCTTAACGCCCCTACGCATCACCCTTCGACCCCTCAGCGACTCACTGTTTCTCCTTTTATGACTTCGAGGCGATGATGCCGGTCGTGGTGGGATGCTGATTTTGCGATGATTTAGTGGTCTTTGTGTCACCTCCTACGAGCTTCCTGGACGTTCCGTCGGGTCGACCATTGTAACGAGTGGAATAGGCTGAGAAAGGGCCTGAACGGGCTGAAAGAACCGAAGCGGCATCAGTAGCAGCGGCATAGAGTCCTGCCCGTGTCCAGTTGAACGTAGAACCGCAGAAGGGGTAAGGCGGATGGGCAGGCAGACACAGGAAGGGCAGACAACAGAAAACGGGCGGGTAGAACGTGGACAAAACGAAGGGGCAACTAGCAGAAGCACTTTAGGTCCTTCCTTTTCTGTCCGTCCATTTCTCTGTCTTTTTTCCTTTCGCCATTGTTGCTGTACGGCGTTATCCTGACTTCTCAACTCAGGTTTCTCGATTTCGCTATGACACTGCGTCTGTGCCTTGGTCCTTAGCCGAGACAATGTGGGGCCATAGCGGAGCACCGCAATGGCAGAATCCGCTGGTTGTAGTAGAATAATAGTAGTAGTAGCAGGATGGAAATACTGGGTGCAAGCTACTCTCAGGACACTATAGGGGTTCTATACCATGAAATTGTGGCTGGTGGGCTTATGGCGGGACGGGGCCCGCGGCGTGCTATCTGCTGTCATAGTGCCGATATTGTTCCAGTTAGCTAGTAGGTCCGTCAATCACTATGCTTGGGCGTTTGGCCGTTGTCCAGCATTCGCCTACGATTTCTACTTCCCCTGCTTTCTCTCTATCACTCTCGTTTTTATATTACAAGGAAGCAAAAGGCAGCTTGAGACTGTCTGTTATTGCTTAGGATTGTAATGCAGATACTGTTGTTGTTGTTAGTGTGGTGATCGTAACAGCAATAGAAGCAACAAAAACACCGGCTCGAATAGCAGTCTTCTTCCCTAGGACCTCGCCTTCCCCTAGCAGACTCTGTGGAGGCTGGTCACGGCCATTGGTTTCCTTGTCTCGCCGGTTAGCCGAATTTTCGTTGAATAATGCCTATAATGATAAAGAGCTCTAATGATGATTCGGAGAAAGCAGACGAAAATGACGTGTAGAAGGTATCTTTCGTGGCATCATGCAGAAAAGCTGCTACGATGGAAAACAGCTGGAAGATTGGCAGCAGAACAGCTCGTTGATGATGAGACAACGCCGACCGACGCTACGGCCGTGCCGAATGGGTTTTATTTTGTATCGGTGTAAGGGTGGCTAACGCCGACACCGTGATTTTGGTCTGAGTCATAGCATCGACTTTTTGCTTGAGTCTTCCAGCGCAAAGAGCGGACACAATAAGTGGTTTTGTAGACTGTAGTTTTGTGGTTTGCTTTAGAAAACCAGTAACGTGCATCGTAGGGGTCGCTTCTCAGCACGACGATCCTCGTTCAAACACGACCTACATAAACCGTGGATGCGCTGGGGCGCCATTGGATTATATCCTTTAAGTACGTAGGGTCGTTCTGCGCTGGGATGGTATTGTGGCCGCAATACCTATAGGTGAAAGAACATGCACAATTTCACCGACAGCCGTTGTAGCACTTACACGAACATAAAAGAACTATATAGCGAAAGCATGGTTAGGTGTTATATGCCAGGACGCAACGAGCGGTAGAAAACAAGTAAAATCAACGAAATTGGAAAAGAAGATGGCTCAATTCTTTAAAAACAATATGAATACCGACTGGCCTATTGAGAGACTTCAAGGGCGCGGAAGAGAAGGAAAGTGAGCTTAAAAAAGATTTGTGACCAGTAAATGCGTCTGAGTATATACAGGCCAGTGCCACGAGAGGACAAGTAAATAAGGAATTTTAGGGATGAAGATATTCGGACGTGCAAAGTGGCCTGCTAATGGACAAGCCAACAAAAGGACGGGGCGAAGAAACTGAAATAAAGGACGTCGAATTGTGCGGCCGCTTAAGTAGAAGTAAACACCAAAGGCCGATAGGGGGGTCGAATACCTGTACCAGTCAAAGCGCTTATCAGCAGTACAGATAGAGTCTAATCTCGGTGAAGAAACGCATAGAAGTCGGAAAGCCCCCGAGTAAGAGAAAAAGGTATAGAATAAAAGCGAAAGAAAGGGCGCTAGTCAGACAACTAGAAATTAGTAACAGCGACATCAGGGTATTTCAAGCTTGATTTTTTTGCTTATACACAAATAATGTTAAGATGTTTTTGCCTGTTCTATTTCACATTACTATATGCAGTGTCCTATGAATGTGCATTTAACGGAGGCAAGCTGACATGAACTGAAGAAGCTCAACAACATAAAAGACTTTTTTTTTGTAATAAAATAACGGAAAAGCTATGTGTATAGTTCTTTATATATTAGATGAGCATGGCTAGAGGCTCTCCGGTAGGTATCTTCTGTCTAGTTATGTTGCGATGGAAAACTTGTATATGCCTAGACTTGACTATACATATATATATATATATAAAAACGACAAATATATCTATAGCCAAAAAGATACCGTTTTGTATAATTGTTTGCGGAATTTTTAAAAACTTCGCAATTAACTTCGATATAAAAAACGTTCTTCCAAAAAGCCGAAGGAAAAGTGTGAAACATTGGTAAAGTATTTACAAAAAAATAAGTTTGAGCTATATGATGATCTTGCGCGTCAAGTTATTGACAATTATTCGTGTTAATGGAAACAAACACAAACAATTTGTGCACATAAGCGAAGATATATATTTTTTTCATAATTTTCCTCGAAACTGACTAAGTGAGTATGAGTAAGTAACTGAGCAATTAAGTGGGGCATTAAGCCGTTACCGTTGCCGGAACTACCAGCGCCTCGAAACGAAAACATTGTGAGTACTATCTGATTCGTTAGTATCACGATCTATAGGGTGTCTGGTACAAGATGACCAATGTAAATACCACCCACCCTAAGCAGCAATATGTACTTTGTAAGTTTGACACACTGACTTAGAAAGGAACAGGTTTACCGAACGACAAAGTTTCCTGAACATTATCGCGCCTGTTAGGTCCGCTGAGACTCGCGAGTTTGCCGCCGCCAGTGGTTAGGTGGCGCGAATATATTTCGGCAATTTACATAGAAGAGAGGAGACAGAGGCGGCGTCTGCCCCGGACAAGTCTAGCTGCCCGTTCTCCTCGTTTGTTCCGTCTAGATCTTGTATCAAGAGAGGAATCTGCCCATAATAATGCCCAGAAAAGACTTATAGGATGGCATCCGTAGCATAACATGGTCGTTATCCCCTGAAAGTGGCATGCGGCATCGTACATAGTCTGTGCAGCTAATATTTGATAATAAACATATATATATATATAGGTGAAGCACAAGTTTCCGTTAAGTAATGTCATTAAAGTAAAATAAGATACTCCTATGATTGCAGTAATTTTCAATAATAACGAATTTATTCAAAGAAGATTCTTCGACTGTCAAGTGACTTTTCTGTAAATTATTAGAAGACTCTTGCTCCAGTTCTTATATATATATATATATATATATGTGTGACTTGACTCAGCTCGTTTAATAGGATGTTTTAACACAATGGCATAGGCAGTAGTAACAGTGGTAAGAACCATGACGTTGGGGTGGTGACCACCGTGAGGTTTCAGGTCTCTTCATCTGGGTCCGAGGGCTGCTGCTCGTTGCTTTTCCCGAGCACCTTATATTTCTATGGCTATAGCTGCTACAAGGTGAAGACACACTACCCAACTGCTAAATTGGCCGACCTACGACAACAGTATCAGCTGCGTTACCGGACTGACTGGACGACAAGAAGATCGGAGAAGAGTGAGTAGA